CTATTGTATTCATCGAAGTGATCCCCCCCCCCCCTCTCCTTGTTATTCCTATCTTTAATGGAGCAAAAAAGTAACTTTCTCTCTTCAGTAACTCTATCACCAATAAGAATGCGATTCTATTATCCGACTGTTTATTATGTGCATTTTCATCTTGTAAATGTATCGATGTGCCTCAGTAGTAGTATAATTTCAGTGCGAAATTCAAATAAAAACAGTGCTTTTCAATCAAATCAAAATGCAATAATCATTCCAATTATTTACTATTCATATTTCATCAATAGAAAGTAGTTAAATAAATAACATCTTGTAAAGGATTCACAACATAACATTATTAAAAATTGTTTATTGAATTATATAATTCAGATACAAAATGCAAATAGAGATTTGTGTAATTTTATAATTTATTTAAATACATTATAAAATTGTTTTTAATGACATTACTCGATTTATGTAATTATTATTTAAATGGAAATTTCGCACTGATTTGAAGCAGTTACCGATTTTTATTATTTATCGTATGTATCATAAGTTTAATGTGTATATTAATAGACAATGTTCTTCCTTCATCATTATTTTTTTAACTCCATTACGTATTATTATTAGATAACATATGTACTATTTGATTTATAAAATGCGAATAATTTGAACAAGTAAAGATATTCTGTTGTAGAATGGAGTTTACATGAAAAAAAAAAAAAAAAAAAAAAAAGGGAAAAACATAAATTTTTACTTTTCATGTAAGAACTTTTAAATCCTTTTATATATATATATATATATCATTTTATTCAACTATACATTTTTTAACTTATTTTTTGTAAAATGTTTATTATAAAAGGCATTTATTATCATTTTTTTTTCTTAGTTTTACTTTAGATAATGCTTGATATCGTGAAACTACATATTCGCCGCTACTTAAGCACGAAAAATGTCTCAAATTTTTAAATTTCTTATTTTTAAGGGCTAGACGTTCTTCTTTTGTAAAACTTTGAAAAAATTCTGCGCATGTTCCTTGTCCTTAATACTGGCGATTATTTAAAGAAATTACGAATATGATGTTTATGTATGTAATATAAGGTGTTGGTTACAGCGATATTCGTTTAAGTAATTGTTAAGTTACAATTTAATATACGCATAATGAATAGGCAAGTTCGCTTAACTGTCCAAAGCCTCCTAGCAATTAATACAATATAGTAAAAAAAAAAATTAATTATTTACCTACCGGTGAGAATTTCAATTACCTTTTAAACTGTGACTCTTATATAACAAAGATAAGGAAGCACTAGAAATTTTATTAAAATAAGAATTAGCATAGATATAGTCGTTAAACTGTACAGCCATTTATATTTATTACTAATAACCACATATCTGTGTAATTACAATATCACTATTATATTTGTAACAACAAGAACAACCACAGTAACAACAACAACAACAACAACAACGACAACAACAATAACAACAACAACAACAACAACAATAATAATAATAATAATAATAGCATTATTATCACATTATAATTACCATGAAAACTTATATAATTATCATCGCTATTGATTAATGCGCCGTGTAAATAAATGTTTTTATTTAACACTTAAATTGTATCATTTTTTTGCACTTTTTTTTTAAACTCCAAACTCAGTTTAAAATCACAAGCCATCAAACGAATCTAACGAACTAATGTCTAAATTATTACATACACTTATTACAGATCTTAAACCTAAGTTGCTGTCATTAATATCGACCAGAAAATTATTATTTCTATTTCAGGTTACTATAAACATATTTTATCTGTGTATGTATTTTATAGCAGTATTGGACAGAAATATCATAGTGATAAATAATGACAATAATTGATAACGGTGAGAAACAATTATGAGTAGTACGATTATGAGAAATTATATAAGCAGAAACGTCAATTATTATTAGACAGAGGATAGAAACAAAAAAATACAAATATATGTAACTGTATTATGTGCACGTGTTCATTGATTATTTACTTGCTTAAAGAACAGTAAACTAATGTATTTTTTGTGAATCTTAATGGCTTGCCCCGCTGAGAGTAGAAGAAAATCATGATTATGATCTGCGTGGCCATCCTCGCCGTGATCGTGGCTACGACTATCGGCGGATACTTTGGCCTGTGAATCTCTCGATCCAGGTATTTATCATTTATCATTATCTTTTTCATTAATTTGCCTATACGATCGTCTATATGCCGCACACCTTTTTAATTACACGTCGTATAAATCTTAAAACATAGTGTTCCGCGTCTCAAAATTCACTTTCTCATTCTTAAAGCGTAATTTATTGGTGTAACAGCGCCAATTATTGCAATTTGTATCTATTATTTCAAACGAGTTATACTAAATCGTAACGGCAATATCCATGACTTATCTCCATTGCAAAATCTTCAATTGGACATAAATGTAACATTAAAGTTAAAACAATAAAAACTCTCGTCTCCCTACCAAATTACACT